ATTCTTTGGATAAATGCCTGACTGAAAATCTCTCGCTGAATTGTGTGAGATATAAAAATTGTTAAAGATAAATAAAATGATTGAAGTTGGACGTAGTGTATTTTCTGCAAACAGATTGCAGGTAGTGCATCTTGAGCTGCAGTTCTTGAAGGGCTAAGGTCCGAGAGAATTCATCGCCAGATCAACAAAGGACAATTTCAATGTATGCTGTGTATACATAAAGCAATTTCTGAACAAGCTTTGACACCAAACTTTTTTCTTACTCGACTTTGATTGATACATTTCATAAACTTTTTAAGATGTAGACAATTTATACCATGTAGAATGTGTGGCTCGTGTATGCAATTACCGACAAATTTAAGTAAACGACCATTAGTCTACTTTTGCTAGACTATTATTCTGCAAAATAGGCTAGGCATTTTTTGTATATGTCGTTAGACTTTAACCTGTTTTATATTGTACCAGGTCAAAGAAACGCTAAAAGTTCAATTGAACGACCAATTATAACCAGCCATAATTAAAAAGTATTACCAAATAGACAGCTAATGGGCGTTTGGACATAAGAATTGTAAAATTCCAAAAAAAGTTAAAAAAACAATTTCAAGTGAAAATGATATTTGAAAATTAAAGTTGGGTTTGGACATGAATATAATTTTGGGTTGTTTTTAAAGCTTTTCCAGTGAGCTGAGTGAAAAATTTTAAAAATAACTTTTTAGAGTTCTTTAAATTTTCGAAAAATTCCAAAATTCATCTTCAAGTGAAAATTGAAAATTTTATGGCCAAACACCGATTTCGGAAAAAAAGTAAAAAAAAATCGAAAAAAGTGAAAACTCTTATGTCCAAACGGGCTCTTAAAAAGGTAATTCGTTGGAAACGAGTAACTATACAATCTCGCAGAACAAAGAACCCAAGTGAAGCGAGACCAGCTTTACAGTTTTGTTAAAAAAGCAGTAACAATACCAACCGGGCAAAAGGCCACTCAAATTTCAACTTGTCACTCTAGCTAGAATTGTGACCTTTCGATCATTGGATTGTGCATGCCAGCCCAAAATGAGAAACATAATAATAGAAGAATATCAGCCCGTAGAACTACAAAGCAACCGAATTTTGGTTTTATCAAAACTGTAATTTATACTCCAAAGAAAAGAAAAGCACCCAGAGGTAGATTGTTAGCAGATAAAGGAAATGATTATGAAGACAAAGTATAGACCAGAATTTGTATCCTAGACGAAACAGAAGCAGGTGGTGGGACGTAACAGGCACTTCCGTTTTCCTTCTTCCTGAACACGACGGCATATTTCAATTTGACAGTTCAAAATGACAATTGATAAGCTCCTCATTGAGCAATTAAGATAGTAACGAACAAAATCAAAAAAACATGGCAACTTCACATCAACAAAGTAACTCATTTACATGATCATTTGAAAAAGAAGAAAAAAAAGCTTCTGCCATGTCCATAGTTAATGTTTCTTACAAGCTGTAACCACAAGGTATGATTTAATTCACTCTAACATCAAAGTGGTGTTTCACACGTTTTAGTTTAAATAATGATTGATAGCTTGTATTAGTGTTATTTTCTTTCGACTCGTGAAAGAGGGAAACCTTTCAAATGAAGAACTTGAATCAGCACACAGAAGTCTGTTAATAATGCAAGCAAAGCAAGCAGAGTACGAATGATACACTATTTCTTTGTTCGGATGATGAGACTGAAGAGTTGGAATTTCATTTCCATTCTATTTCCACTATTACAGTGCAGAAAACTTTTTCAGGGAACACATATTCTAACTCTATTCTGTGTCTACTGTACATGTAGTAGCAACTATTGATTACAAAAATTATGGCCTCTTACGAGTCCTAATGTCATTTGTGTTGGGTGCTATAATAATCTATAAATACATACAAGGTTAAAGAAGAAAAGAATGACTATAACTAAAGGGACTCACCTTTGCTCTATTTCCAGGATGAATCCAGAGCTCTAAGAAGGCATTGAAATGTTAATAATTGTAGACTTCTGCATATTCTCGCAATTCTTGCCTGTTCTTATTTTGGAACATGTAGGCATCTCATACTGTCTAAGCAGGAGACAAGGATCTCAGCAAATCCTAATCAATTGGAATTGCTATAATAGCAGAATGTTGCATATAACCGAGGATTGTTCGAATCCACTTTGGATCCCATAAAATACGTGCTTTCAATGTCTTCAAGTTCAGCTACTCGTGGAAATCCTCATAAGGCGAAGATTCACTTGATGAATCACTTTCAAATGGGGTGGTCTCTCTTGGTGATGAAGGAAGTGATTCTCTTTGTTGAGAAGATAAACCTGGAAAGAAAGACTTGTGTCAGTAACCAATATTACTGATACTTTGTAGCATAGCTTAAAATTAAAACGACCACACTGTCAGCCAAACTGGCCCAAAACCAGAGGACTAAAATATCAACTGTGACTAAGCAATCTAGACATCATAAAATGCTGGGCCTATTAGAAAGCTATTAATGCCAGTTCTGCTGGCTTTAGCACAACAGAGAGCACAGAATGGCATCCTACATTAGTTCTTCCAAGAGGAAAACAATAGGACCATAAAAGAGAGAACAGGATACTTTCAACATGGAAAAAGCTCTGCCAACCTTTTGGTCCTCTAGAACGAAACTTCTTTGTATGCCGTCTAATCAGCTTCTTGGCTTTTGTTATGGTTAGTTGTCTGGCAAAGGGAGAGAACTCTGCCTCACTTTCACTCCAGTCACCAGGTATCTCATTTTCTGCTTCACCCCTCATTGTCCGAAGCACGAAAGCCCTGGCCTTTCTGCGCTGAGAATTGAAAAGGCCTTTTATAGAGGTGACAAAACCATCACCTGCACCCTCAGGGGGGCGCTTAGGCCAGGATAAAGGGTTCTGCTCCGGATTTTCCGGCTGAACCACCATCACTATCACTGAGATTAAGATCAATATCGGGGACACCAGCAACACCAGCTTCCCTTTGATTATGTGCTTTATCTTTAAACTTCTTGCACTGCATTAGTATAAAAGACATGGTCACTGAAGAGTTAGTCCTCTTGAGGTAGTCGATGAGTCTGGAGATACTTATTACCGATTATCATACAGCAACAGATAAAGATATTTAATGTGGTCAAATATTGAATGATTACAGATAATGGAAATTGGAAAAATATAATTTCAAAGAAACTAACCTGCATTCTTGTTGATTTTAGGACTCCCCATATGATGTGTTTCTTAACTCTTGAGAATAGCCTCCGCCAGGTTCCAGTAAATTCAACACGATGGAATGTATCCATCAGTAATCTTAAATCACTCACAGCAAATCTTGATCCTTCACATGTAACAAGTAACTCAACCTAGTTCATGCATATCAAACATGTATTAGTTTCGAAAACAAACAAACTGACGAAGCTACAATAAGTTATTAGCCCACATAATGGACTGACCTGACTAATCTTGATATTGTGGAACTCTCTCATTCTTCGAGGCCTAGATTTTTTCTCATCCTGTGTCTTGCCCACCTTTTTCTCTTCATGAGAGGAGTGGCCAAACTTAATTAGTTTTGATTCTTTGGATTTGTTTCTGTTACCTTCATCTGGCTACTCAATACCGGCAAAGGGCTCACTTGTTGAAGAAGTAACACACTACTAGAAACACATGGATTTCCCACGGCGAAATCAGTGGGAAACCGGTGGGAAAATCGAGTTTTCACACCGCATTCCCACCGAAATGAGTCACCAGGAAAATGCCTGGTGGGAAATATCTTCCCAGAGACGTGGTGGGAAATTTCCCACGGGTTTCCCAGAGAAACTTTAATAGGAAAAATAATGAAATTTCGCACCAACAATCAGTGGGAACTATTATTAGTAATTTTTATTAATTTTAATACATTAGCCAGGGAAGTGGTGGGAAAAATGCATAGGGAGCTGGAAATAAAGTATGAACTTTCCCACTGATAACGGTGGGAAATATGGAAGTTCTGAAAAATAAAGTGTGAACATTCCCACTGATATCCGTGTGAAATGTGTTAATTCTGAAAATAAAAGTATGAACTTTTCCACCGATATCAGTGGGATAAATGCAAATTATGAAAAATCGTATGAACTTTCCCACCGATATCAGTGGGAAATATGCAAGTTCTGCAACTAAATGACGAACCTTCCCAC